CACACACACACACACACACACACACACACACACACACACACACACACACACACACACACACACACACACACACACATACGCGGTCCCCCAATGACCCATCAACAAGCGCACGCTGCGCTCGCGCGTTGACTACCATCGTTTCAGCAGTCCCAGCGTCACACGCACCCATGCACGCACAGCTTCCTCCCTGAGCTCCTCCCCGCCTACCTCCTCCTCCTCGCTTCCTACTCACACCACTATGGCCCGGCAACATCTCCCCCTCCCCCCAACAAAAGGGTACCTTCATGAGCTGGGTGTGCAGGCGGAGGAGGTGATCCTGGACTTCAAGGCCAGGGAGCACAAGGCCCCGGGGTACACCGACAAGTTCCCGTTTGGCACAGTGAGTTGTCCTGAGGGGCGGCGGCACGCTGCGCTGCAGATGCATGCCTGCGGCATCTCCGCCCAGGCCAGGTTGTGGCAAAGTAAATCACAAGGATATCAAGTCATCTGCCGTGCACACCCCAGGTGCCGGCACTTGAGGACGGGCATCTGAGTCTGGTGGGTGCGCCGAGCGCCTTGGTACACTTGGGCCGCCTTGCGCATGCACAATTGCCTTGATCACCAGTGTCGGTCCTTGCCTCACCATGACTGGCCCAACCGGCTATCCGGCCCACAGCATATGCCGCGCCTGCACACCCCGGGTGTGGGCCACCTGCGCCATCACACGCCTCGGCGACAAGGCCTGCTGCCCAGGCAGGGGACTACGCCCGATCACCAGCGATGCGCACTCCCCCCCTTCCCTCAGGACCGGCCCTTATCTTAATTCTTCGCCGCTCGAGCCCCGCACCCGCCGTTCACCTCCTCTTCACTCCCCCCTCGGCAACCGTTAACAACGGCCTCTCTGCTTTTGCAATCCCTTCAATCAGTTTGAGAGCGGCGCCATCCTGCTGTACCTGGCGGAGCGCTTCCCCCAGGCCTCGGGCGTGACCACCACGGAGCAGCGCGCGCTGGCGGCGCAGTGGGTGCTGTTCGCCAACGCGACGCTGGCGCCGGTAGTGTTCACAGAGTCGGTCAGGTGAGCCAGGCCGCAGCCACGCACGCAGCTGGCAGCGTTCAGCCGACCCGCCACAGCAGGTGTTGGCTGTCTCCAGGGCATGGATTTAGAGCTGATTAGGTGCCACAGGTCCGTTTGTGTGAGGGCCCAGGGGTTTTTGGGGTAGACCTCCTGCCTGCTCGCCCAGGCCCAAAGCCCACCCAAACCCGGGTGGTTATCACACACCACCCAGGGACGCCGACATGCCCAAGGTGCTTGGCACCCTGGACAAGGTGCTGGCCGGGAGGGACTACCTGGAGGGCGGCAAGTTCGGCGTGGCGGATGTGGCTGTGGGGTGAGTGGGCACCGATCAAATGCTCAGAGTGCTTACAATCAGCCAATGTCCGGCATGCCGTGCCAGTGGCGCCCTTAGATGGGCTTACAGGACCCCAAGGCAGCACTCTGCCTGCTGGCCGGCATCCTGTTGGGCCTGCCTTCACAGTGCTGCCGCTCGAATTGCTCACCAACCCGCTGCTGCCGCCTCAAACTGTACCTTGCGCCACCCCTCCCCTCTTGACTAATGACACGACCCCCACCCCAGCTCTTACCTGACCTACATCCCTGGTGAGACCCCTGCACCCCGCGCCATTATTGACTGCGCGGCCCCTCCCTCGTTCTGTGCCGCTTTTGCGCCGCAATCTAACCAGACTGATTAACACACCTTTGCGGTCTCACCCACCGTTGCGGTCGTTCATCACAGTCGTGCTCATGCGTCATCTTCTGCCTCTGATTGCCGCCTGCTCCTCCCTTGCATGCTTCCGCAGAGTGCCTGCCCCACGTGGACCTGTCGCCCTGGCCAAACGTGATTGCATACATCAACAGGTGAGCATCGGGTGTCGCACTTTGGACCTCACTCCCATGCTGAAACTGGCACGCGCAGCTGACCAGGCAAAGATCGCTGTGGGTCGGTTGTGGCTGGGCCCTTTTTCAAGCAGATCGTCTCGCACGGCCGGACCCTTCCCTTGCTGCCAGTCGCTCGCTGCCACCGGCCGACGCCACACGCATACATGAAGCGGCCCTTGTCCCGCCCACCCCAACCCTGAGCGCTGCCGCGGTTTCCGCCTTGTTTCCCGGCCTCCCGTCTCTCCAGGGTGTCAGAGCGCCCAGCTTTTCAGGCCACACTGGGGCCGCCGTGGGCCGAGTGATGCCGTTCTGTCGTTGGTAGATGCGACAGCCGTGGCCGGCAGCTATATGCCTGACCCAGAATGTGCCTGGCATGTATTGTCCTATTTTTGACCGGTGCAAGGGGCGGATTTTGAGTTGTGGAGGCTGGAGGACTGAGGCGAGGCAGGCAGCTTGCCAGGCTGGCTTGGCGGTCAGGATGTTGATTGACACACCAACAGAGAGCAGCTGGCCTGGCCCCTGGTCAACGGCCGACCCAAGCCTTGTCCGACCCAAACATTGAAACGAGCTGCTGATAACCAGTAACACTTCTTTGCATCACCATCATTCGTTACTCTCGTGTGATCCTTGCCGTGCATTTCAGGCTTGAAGACGCTCATCCACACACTGCTACAGGCTGCAACCTTGAGACGACCATGGCACTGCACAGTGTTGCTGACTGCAGATTGGGTCAAGTCGTACTGCTGGATGCTCGCGCAAGTCAAGTTGCCAACGACACAGAGCTGCATAGCAGCAAACAATGGGCAGCTGGTGCGCTGCGCTCAACAGGCATGTTCAAAATTCACAAAGGACACTTGTAAACACAGACCAGCATGAGGAGACCGCTCATCGCTTGAAGGCTCAGCAAGCAGCTGGGCGATGGGCGCCATGCGGCCGAGACAGCCCCGCCTGGGTGCCTGAAGGCCGGCATTACGCAAACATGGCCCCACACGCTGCCTCGAAACAAGGCCGGTCGCTCGCCGCCCTCCACTGACAAGCCCGAAGCTGCGTCATCTGACATCATACATGATGTGCCTCTTGAACTTCCGCGCGGTCTGCGCGTTGGTGCTGGTCCGCTGGCCCCGCACGGGCAGCCCGAGTTCGTGGCGGCGGCCGCGGTAGGTCTTGGCTTCTATGAGGCGGAGGATGTTGTCCCTGATTGACCGCTTCAGCTCGTCCCCAACCTTGTAGCGCTCGTCAATAATGGCGACGACCTTGGAGGATTGTCGGGGGCCGCGGGCGTTTGTGTGCGTTCTATGCGCACATGCGCATGCATGTGTGTGCGTGCCTCCATGCATGCACACATGTGCATGGATTGCGTGTCTGAGCGAGGGTGTAAGGCACAGCATGAGCCCACCAGCCACCGGCAACGAGTCTGGTGCGCCCGTTGCAGGCCCCGCTGCGCTTCTCGCCACAAGTGGCTCCCGGCATGGCACGGCGCGCAGGGCGCGCTTCCGTGAGCTGCACAACCACGCACCTGCCGCACGTGAGACGCCTTGACGTCCATCACGCGCGCCTCCTTGCTGATGCCGACCTCCTCAGCGATCGCCAGCCCGGTGGCCTTGCCAAGGCCAAACACCCGCCCCAGGGCCGTGTAGAAAGTGGCATTGTCACGCAGCAGCGTCTTGGCTATTACAAGCGGCATTGCAGCTGCTTCCGCCGCGGCTGCTGATGCCGCTGCCGGTGCTGCTGGTGCTGCTGCCGCTGCGCGTGCAACAGCACCGCTCGTATGGGCCTCCGCTTCGCCTCGCCGCCGGTGCTGCGGCGCTGTGGCAGTGCTTAGACTGCAGGTTTCACTGCTCCTTGTGCGCCGTGTTATTGACTGATATTTCTGCGCACAGTAGTGCGTATTGCACCACGAAGCAATGCTGCAAAGCACACTGAGCACTGTCTCAACCAGATCTGGGGCTATTCGCGCACACTTGAAGGCAAGACACGATGTGATTAGTTAGGTGATGCGATGCGCTGCGGAATGATAAGCCACCTCACAGCGGCGAACAGCGAGATCACTTTGCTTGTAGAAGACGCAAGCTGTATGTGGCGCCTGAAAAATTGCTGGATACCACCGTTATGGTTTCCCCGCCTCGACCCGATGAACAAAATCTCAAGGATTGTGTCGTCACCAGCGCCCCAGCTTGGCTCACTCAGCTGCTGCAGCGCTGGCAGCCAGCACGTACTGATGAAGTAGGTCGGGAGCCGGCGAAGTGCTTGTTCCCCATACAAGATCCAAAATTAAACTGCCTGCACATATGCTGCAGCCAATCACCATTGGCGTTCTGGTTGGAGGGGCAGCATTGAAGCTGCGAAGGAACCGTCGAGAAATTCGGCTCACGCTGCTCTCACCACACCAGCAAGCAGCCCAGCCAAGCGCCCCAGAGGTGCCGATTCCGTCATCCAACGCGCGATATGCACATCACTGCATAGCGCCTTGTCGCTTGGTGAGTGTTACTCGCAGTCAAAATGAAACGGTTCGGTGAGGGCTGGAATGCAGAGTGTGCAGGTTGGGGCACCTGATGAGAAGCCCTCTGCAGGCCGTGGTGGGTAAAACGCCCAGCTGGAGGCATGAGACGCGACGTTGCTGATAACAGACAGAAAATCTCTCGGCGCTGGTCGACTGATTGGTTGATAAGTGGGGGGACAAAAACCAACAACACGAAGAGAGCTCTGATCAGCTCACACGTAACAAGTGTTAGCATGGTGAAGACTCACATTGACATTTAGACACGGTGTAGACATATTAACACACCGGAGCAGGCTCAGTGCCCGACGCTCAACCCACTTGACAAAACAATGGGGACCATACTGCCTGCCCCAACGCTCTGCTGCCGCGCGCTCGCGCCTCGCTCAAGCCGCAGCCCCGCCAAAGCCGCGAGCCCCCGTCAGTTGCACCAGAGCAGCGCCTCCCCGTCGCCGCCCGCGGTGAACACCCAGGGCTGCGTCGGGTGGAAGGCCACGTCCAGAACACCCGCGTGGTCTGTGACCGCGTGGCCCCGCAGCACCTTGACCGGCACGATCAGGGGGTTGGTCAGGAGGTCGGCGTATACCCTGGGGTTTTGGGGGGCGGTTTGGGGGGCACGCCGTTGGAAACGGGGACGTGGGCAGCTGGGGAGGAAGCAGGAGCGGGGGCTCGCTGGTTGCAGCAACGTAGGAATGGATCGGGAATGGAGAGGACAGATGGAGGAGTTTCAGGTGCGTACAACCTAACAAGGCAAAGGGGACTCCAGGAGGCGAGTCGGGCCGCAGCTGCACGCTTCACCGTGCGCCGCTGCTGAGCACAGCCAGCAACTGTCGTGGCGAGCGACAGAAAGCAAGTGCCCCGCAACCGCGGGCGTACGGGCGGCCGCGCCACGGCGCCACCCACCGGCCGTGGAACACATGAGTGGTGCCGTCGTCGGCGGCGGAGGCGAAGAGCGGGTAGGAGGGGTGGAAGGCGACGCCCCTCAGTGGCTGTGTGTGGTAGCGCAGCGCCTTGTAGGGCGTGGCCGAGAGATCCAGATCGTACCTGGGTCGGGGTTTGGGGGTTGGGGCGTTGAGGGTTAGGGACGGCTTTTGTGCAGGATCGAGACAGGCGGGGGTGTTGAGACGGGGGAGGAGAGAGCGGCGG